GCTTGTGTGTGTGTGTGTGTGTGTGTGTGTGTGTGTGTGTGTGTGTGTGTGCATGCGCGTGTATGTGCATGTACGTTTTTATGTGTGTTCATTTCCCCAGGCCCTTATGGTGTTTTCAAGTGAGGTGGCTCGTGGCCAGTACCGGGAGCACGGCATCAACGAGTATGTGCGTAGTGAGGATGACATTCGTCGCATGGCTAAGGTCCTGCACGGAGTTCTGCTATCCAGTACTGTACTGTGGGAATACTTCTGCGTGGACGTGCGTGCTCAGGTGAGTCCGAGGCACTGGTGGTGGCATAGAGCAGTGCTCGGCAAGGTTGTAAGGGGTCGTCGCAAAAGTTTTCTGTCGTCCCTGAAACGAACATCGTTCATTTCGTACTTGGACCCCCTCCCCTCCCTCTGAAACGAACACAGCTTGCTATGCTGGACGACGAAAATCGCATGCATGTACATGTCATATGTACAGTGTCGGTCGACTTGCGATTTTGGCTCGCACCCCCCCCCCCCCCCCCCCAAATGAATCATGTTCGTTTCAGGGACGACAAAAAACTTTTGCGATGACCCCTAATATGAGCATATACATGCTGTCGTACATGTACGGTTTCTAGTTAGACTCATTAACTTAACTTTCTGACTTCGCTTCTCTTTATTTATGTCTGCCCGTATCTGTGTTCTCGGCCTGTCACTCTTTCCTTCTCCTGAGGTGTCTCATTCCACTGTACCAAGATGCCGCACATGGATCAAGCTATTTTGATTCTTACAGGGTGTATTTCACTATTGCATGCTGGATGCCTTATTATCTGCTGCAGGTGGAACAATTTGAGAAGCATCTCGGCGGCAAGCAAGTAGATATGTCTCGTGCAGGCATCGAGAGGCCGCCTATTGCAATTGTTCAGGACCCGCACTATGGTCGGTGTTCGTGCACCATCGACTATGACCTGGCGGAGGATATCCTCTTTCACCGAGAGTAAGTGTGGCCTGCAGTTGATGCTAATTTCTGTAGCATGCTAGAACCGCAGCCTTTGCATATGAAGACAAAGGGGAAGTAAGGTCTAACATCAAATTTCACCAGTTGTAGTCTTTGAGGTGCTAAGTTGAATGGTGTTGGTTCGAGGAAACTGAGACGTTCTCTTCCTCTTGTATTCCCGATTGAACTCGCGTACTTCCACCGAATCTGGGTGACTGCGCCCTACTAGATAGGGATTTGTGTTGAAAAAAATTCACTCAAAGCGTACTTCGTTCTTGTAGAAGCACGGATGAATGTGAAACTCCCAGAACCTGCAGTATTCTGGACACTAAATTGAATGGTCTTGGTCCGAGGAGGCTGTGATACAGCATTCGGCCCTTATTTCCAATCGAACGCGGTCGAATACGGTCCTGTACGTGACCCGTACCGATGTGAAGGGATAGAAAAGTAGAAAGTGAAACGTGGAGGATTAAAAGAAAAGTTTGGAGAGTCGAACCTCAAAGAGGAGGATACAAAATTTGAGAATGCATTAAGTTAGGATTGCATCAGTTTCAGGAGCATGTCGGACCTGGATTAGTACTAATTTCTTCCTGAAAAAGGTTTTAGAGACGGCAGCTTACAGCCACAGGGAGGACTAATTTAGCTGGAAGCATTCCCTATCTGTCGACATGCATGAGTACAATGTCGTCGTGTGCCCTATAATCATCGTTTACATTATACCGGTACTCGTGTCGACAGATAGGAAATGCTTACAGCTAAATTAGTCCCCCTTGTGGCTGTGCTTCAGAAAATTTCAGGAATATATTCATGCGGTATAATCTCACGAAGCCGGGAGATCAAGTAAGTCTTGTGACCGTAATGCAGCGCAAAATATTTTCCGTTGTGAAACGCAACAAACAGGAGAGGCTAGACTGTTCCAAAGTACACTGTCAACAACGAATCTAATCGACCAGAAGGGCCTCGTCAAAATGGTACAGTAAAACCGGTGACTAACGGCCACCCCTTGGGGGGCCAGAGAAAGCGGTCTTTAGTGGCAGGTGGTCCTTAGTTAGAGGTTTGCACCACACAACCTTTAATATATGAATGTGAGACCGTCCGTGCCTGGCAAAGTGGTCTGTAGTACCAGGTTAGTCGCTAGTCACGGTCTTTAGTTACAGGTTTTACTGTTCTTGTAGAAGATTAGAAACCTGACCAGGGGTGGTTCGACCTCCCAGATTCCTAGTGTTATTAAGAATATAATACTGTATAAGCAGAAATATTCGTCTGGAATTTAATTTCGTCTATTTCGTCCAAGGAGCTTTTGGACTAAACTAAATGTAGGACTAATGTCGATTTGCCCTGCTTTTCTATACACTCTTATGATCCATGGACGAAATTTTCAACCGGACGAACTCCTTTTCTTTGGAGTTGGACGAAATTATTGGCCGACAAAATGTTCTGCCTCTACAGTAGTCTAAAAAGGGTTTACTCCAAGCAAAATGAATCCTGCGATGAACAAAAACCAAAAAAAGCTTTTGGCGATATATGTGTACAAGAGGTAAACGCCGCACCAGCACAAGCAAGGGAGTAATGGGCAGTGGGATGTGCACCCGCGTATTGGCACGCACTCCATCTTTGGCCATGCTCTCCAGGCGGCCAAGCAACCGGAGGGACAGGGAAGGATAGATTGCATTGCTTGCATAGTAGAGTGCAGACTGAAATAGGCTAGTGCTCTAATTTCAGAAATTTTCGGTGCTGAATATTTTGGGTATGAGGGCGAAAGGCCAAGTTGGGTGAACGGAAAATTTAGGTACAGACAAGCAGTTCACTATTGGATTATGTGTGTCAGTGTTTGTTGGGTGTATTGAAATTTTTGGTGTGAAACAGATGCACCGAAAGTACCGAAAATAGAAGTATACCGAAAATTTGTGAAATTACAGTAAACCAATTTCTTCTTGCAACACCCATGCCGCCAAAGCTTTCCTATTGCTTGACCAGTCTTACGTGCGACCTGGTCTACTTATGTACATCAGGCCAGATCATCATCGGCATGGACACCAAGGTACGGTGCTGCTCAATGAAATCCAGTTGTGTCAGTCAAGTACGCGCCGGGCGTTGCACCTCCCTAGACCTGCGAACACTGGGCTGCGAAATGATGCAATTTGCAAACTTGAGTGACGCGACTGGATTTCATAGGGCAGCACTGTACTTGGCACTGTGCACCACTTGCAGGACATCAGTGCTGCATTTGGGGAGCAGCAGTAAGGAGCCAGCAAACCACGGCTGTGTTCCGAACTGGGGACTCGAGAATGATGTCGTCGGCTAATAACTCCGGTTGGGAAATGTTATGGGGAAGGTTGTACTCCAGTCGACAGGTGTCCAAGATGAGGAGCAGTGGCCCAAGGACACTGCCCTGAGGTACTTCTCTTGAGCTGGGGCCCAAGGACACTGCCCTGAGGTACTTCTCTTGAGCTGGGGCCCAAGGACACTGCCCTGAGGTACTTCTCTTATATAATAAAATACAGAAATACAAAATTCAAAGCGTCGCTGCAAGGGACACGGAACAAGGTGGGGAGCGCAATAAAATCGGACAAGATGCATGGAGAATCGACAGCGCCGATATCAAAACCTATCTCAAACCCCTCGTAGGTGAAGAGACCGTCATCTGGGCGGGCATTTCAAAACTCCCATGTGGTACCTTCAACCGACGGATTTGATTGCTTTCCACGCTTTCGTGGTCTTTCAAACGAGAAACTGGTGGTGGTCGGCGGAAAAACCACCGATGGTGTCAGCATATGCAGAGGCAAGACTTGTTCAAGCGTGAGATCTTCCTATCGAAGTACCAATCGAAAAACTCTGATAGAGGAGATTATTACTGACCAATCAAATGGAAATCTGCAGGATATGATAGATTTCCTCTACGACTCCAATCTCGTCATGGGTATTTACAACATGACAACAAACAACTGCCATACGTTTGCCTCCGCTCTGTTCAACGAACTTGCAGCTACCCACTACGTCAATCACATCGAACTTCCACGTGCCAAACCCATCGACTTGGAACATGCAATCGAATGAGTACTCGACCCCCTCCACACAAACATTTACCACAGATATGTTGGTTTTAAAATAATGTTTAATTAGATGGAGAGTATCTCCGTATGTGATTTGACGAGGGTTACAACGCTGTTTGGTCGCAACACCCCGTAATACACCTTGAGCTTCTGGAGGTAGAAGGCGATGTGTTCTGTAGTGCTGAGGTGCTCCTTCATCTCCACCATTGTCCTCCATTTATTGTCGCTGCATGGGGGAAACAGATAAAAACAAGATGTATAAGATCTCCGGTATTTCAAATAAAGAGAATTGCACGACAGATCACTTACCACTAGCATAGGAAGACTGGTGTCGGACCGGCCTCCAGGTTTTGTCGATGCCCCATCAATTTGACGTGAGCCACGAACGGCTGGGGACTGGTGTTGCCACAGTGTTAGTGACGCGCAAGTGCTGGTAGCTTGTTGTAGTCAGATGTTGTGTGAAGCTTTCAATGCAATAGGTTGACCTTCGAACTCGCGGACATAGACGGTGGCATCCGAACCCCGGCCTAACTAAGGTTCATTCAGGTCAACTGGAACGAATCCAAGCCAAATCGAGTCAGGCACACCACGTTTCTCTTTGAGCTGAGTTTCAAACCTTGCCTCAGCCACTTCACTCATGCACACTTGTCTTCGTCTCGCAATTGTGTGTTTGCTTGTGTCTGCCAGTGTTCAGCACCGTTACGCCCTACGGCATCCGAACCCCGGCCTAACTCAGGTTCATTTAGGTCAACTGGAACGAATCCAAGCCAAATTGAGTCAGGCACACCAAGTTTCTCTTTGAGCTGAGTTTCAAACCTTGCCTCAGCCACTTCATTCATACACACTTGTCTTCGTCTCGCAATTGTGTGTTTGCTTGTGTCTGCCAGTGTTCAGCACCGTTACGCCCTACGGCATCCGAACCCCGGCCTAACTCAGGTTCATTTAGGTCAACTGGAACGAATCCAAGCCAAATCGAGTCAGGCACACCAATTTTCTCTTTGAGCTGAGTTTCAAACCTTGCCTCAGCCACTTCACTCATACACACTTGTCTTCGTCTCGCAATTGTGTGTTTGCTTGTGTCTGCCAGTGTCCAGCACCGTTACGCCTTACGGCATCCGAACCCCGGCCTAACTCAGGTTCATTTAGGTCAACTGGAACGAATCCAAGCCAAATCGAGTCAGGCACACCAAGTTTCTCTTTGAGCTGAGTTTCAAACCTTGCCTCAGCCACTTCACTCATACACACTTGTCTTCGTCTCGCAATTGTGTGTTTGCTTGTGTCTGCCAGTGTTCAGCACCGTTACGCCCTACGGCATCCGAACCCCGGCCTAACTCAGGTTCATTTAGGTCAACTGGAACGAATCCAAGCCAAATCGAGTCAGGCACACCAAGTTTCTCTTTGAGCTGAGTTTCAAACCTTGCCTCAGCCACTTCACACATGCACACTTGTCTTCGTCTCGCAATTGTGTGTTTGCTTGTGTCTGCCAGTGTTCAGCACCGTTACGCCTACGGCATCCGAACCCCGGCCTAACTCAGGTTCATTTAGGTCAACTGGAACGAATCCAAGCCAAATTGAGTCAGGCACACCAAGTTTCTCTTTGAGCGGAGTTTCAAACCTTGCCTCAGCCACTTCACTCATACACACTTGTCTTCGTCTCGCAATTGTGTGTTTGCTTGTGTCTGCCAGTGTTCAGCACCGTTACGCCCTACGGCATCCGAACCCCGGCCTAACTCAGGTTCATTTAGGTCAACTGGAACGAATCCAAGCCAAATTGAGTCAGGCACACCAAGTTTCTCTTTGAGCTGAGTTTCAAACCTTGTCTCAGCCACTTCACTCATACACACTTGTCTTCGTCTCGCAATTGTGTGTTTGCTTGTGTCTGCCAGTGTTCAGCACCGTTACGCCCTACGGCATCCGAACCCCGGCCTAACTCAGGTTCATTTAGGTCAACTGGAACGAATCCAAGCCAAATCGAGTCAGGCACACCAAGTTTCTCTTTTTGTGCTGAGTTTCAAACCTTGCCTCAGCCACTTCACTCATGCACACTTGTCTTCGTCTCGCAATTGTGTGTTTGCTTGTGTCTGCCAGTGTTCAGCACCGTTACGCCCTACGGCATCCGAACCCCGGCCTAACTCAGGTTCATTTAGGTCAACTGGAACGAATCCAAGCCAAATCGAGTCAGGCACACCAAGTTTCTCTTTGAGCTGAGTTTCAAACCTTGCCTCAGCCACTTCACTCATACACACTTGTCTTCGTCTCGCAATTGTGTGTTTGCTTGTGTCTGCCAGTGTTCAGCACCGTTACGCCCTACGTCTTACACTGCATACACTGAGCCTGTGTGTGTAGTGTGCAGGCCATGTTGCGTACTGCGGTATCCGTTCCTCTTCTCATCTCCCTGTCGCAGTCTACAGCTACATGGCACTGTAGACTCTCTCTCTCTCTCTCTCTCTCTCTCTCTCTCTCTCTCTCTCTCTCTCTCTCTCTCTCTCTCTCTCTCTCTCTCTCTCTCTCTCTCTCTCTCTCTCTCTCTCTCTCTCTCTCTCTCTCTCTCTCTCTCTCTCTCTCTCTCTCTCTCTCTCTCTCTCTCTCTCTCTCTCTCTCTCTCTCTCTCTCTCTCTTGCCTCCACACTAGGAGTTGCACTCTCCGTACACTGACTGGTCACCTGGTACGCAGGTCTACTGATTTAGGTGTGTTTTATACAGTCCGTTCTGTAGTCTCCACTTGCTAGTCATGATCGTCCATGTCAGAGCAGTTGTAGAATATTTTGTTTGCAATCGGCCACCGTACCAGTACCGCATACGGTGCGGCCGCCTGTTGTGAGAGGAACTGCAGCACGGCACCGACTTGACAGCAGCAAATGCAGTCCAATCGACGCTCCATCTCCACGCAGCATGTACGCTCGCACCAGGAAACCTTGCGGACTCTTGTTTGAGGAGGCGAGGCTTCTTTGAAGCTCGCAGCAGCAGCGGCTTCCTCCTTATTTTCGACGTGCTCCTCGCTACCGTCCCTCAAACACTGGAGCTCTTCTTCACTGTATTATTCTGGCCATCTAGCTTGTGCTAGCACAGCTACGGCTTCTGTACGTAATCTCTTCGGGGTCTCTTTGCTAGCCTTTGTTGAGGTAAATGTTCACGCAAAGTCTAGAACGTCGAAGAGCAAACCCAGCGGCAGCAGTAAAATAAAACGCGCTCTGCTGAGCGGCTAGTGCCGCCATGCACCAGGAAAGCGGAAGGATTTCACACCTGGCCTTGTTGGTAACGTCAGTCGGTGTGGAGGGAGACTGTCGGCGTTGTAGTAGTGGTGTCGAGTAGGGCGTATCGGTCGTGGTCGTGGTTTCGGGCGTGGTCGTAGCTGTCGGAGGTTGTCTGTATTGTGTCGTCGCGGTGGTTGATACGTTCGGATGGTGAGGCGTTGGCGGATTGCCGTGACAAGTTCCTCCGCTGAGGGAGGGCGTGGCGCCAAGTCGAGCTGTCGACGCGCGGCATCCAGGCGCGAGGGCCTGACGATTCCGGGTGGTGCTGGCGGAAGCACCGGCGTCCGAGGCGACGGCGGCGATGGCGCTTGTCGCACCCAGTCGGCGAATCGCGGCGGCGACCCCCATGGGGAATATTCCATGGCTCGAGCATTGCATAGTTTGGGTGGGGTGGTGGTGATTGGGGCGGAGGAGGTGGCGACGAGGGCGGCGAGCAGGGCGGAAGAGGTACCTAACACATGTACGCAGTGCAGTGCACTTTGAACTCTTCCCGGTCACACACCCTTGTGTGGCCAAGCATACGCAATTTGACAAATTTGGCTGACCAGCAGCATTTGACAAATTTGGCTGACCAACAGCAGCAGTGGACACAGATGGCTCATCGGCAACCACAGACAAGTTTGGCTGACCTGCAGCAGGCGTCGGGGACGATGACTGACCAGCAGCACCTGACGACGACGACGACGGTAATGGCTGACGAGCATCAGCGGAAACCGGCAACGCTAATCCGTCCCGACCCGCAGCAGGGATTGTTCTTGACTAGCCAGCAGCCGTTCTATCAATTTTGCCTTTTGATCACTGACATCCAGTTGCCTTTGCCTGCAGCAGGAGCCTCAATTGGGGAGCAGTTCTCTTCGAAAGCGAACTCTTGTCCATCTCGCCACAAAAGCCAGATACTCCCAAAAATAACAACAAACTGAGCGGAAGAAAGGCCACTGCTGATTTAGATGTCTACTGTACGGTCCGTTCTGTACTTTCTAGTCCTAGCAGTCCATGTGAGAGCAGTTTTTCTATCAAGAGGCCCATATTTAGGCTTGCAGCGCCATGTACACTCAATTCAGATGCTATCTCTTTTTTCACGACATTGACATGCAGATTTGCTGAATTTTTTGGTTCTCTGCTGTTGTTGTGTGCATACCGTTGTCTTGTCTTTGTTGTTTTGTGTAGCATGGAGGGCCGCAGTCTACATGAGCACATTTCCCGAGCGAAGCAGGACCTTGCAGACACTCTGGACTGGCTCATTGAGCAACAGATGAGCAAGATCGAGCAGGACATCTTCCAGGAAGTCATCCATAACTGCATGTCAAATGTGCGCTACGAATACTTGGAGCCCGGTGGACCTCGCCTGGAAAAGATCACCGTCGACCATCCGATTGTGCCAAGGTACGTGCACATGCACATCCACTGTTTTTGTTTGTGTGTGTGTGCGTGCGTGCGTGCGTGTGTGCGTGTGTGTGCAAGTACAAGTAGTACAGGTGTGTGTGTGTATGTGTGTATGTATGTATGTATGTATGTATGTATGTATGTATGTATGTATGTATGTATGTATGTATGTGTTCCCCCTTTGGTGGTGTGTTTCACGACTGCTCCGCTGGCTTTTCCATCCTTGCTTTGCAGCAACTTATCCACTCTGGCCAAGTTCCATAATCCGCGGGCCACACCATCCTCGTGTATGACCACATCTCCCACACCGACTTTGCCTGCGCGACTTGTAGACTGTGGTCTTCGATGAGCATTGCGTGGCTCCAGCAAGTAGTCTGCTTGCCACCTTGTCCAGAAGTGATCGGTCAGTTGTTTGATGTGGACCAGGCGGTGCAACACATCATCCCGCTGCACGGCGGCTAGGTCGACATCATCCAGGTCAATCATGCGGCAGGACAGCACTCGTCTGCCCTAGATGAGGTGGGATGGAGTAAGTGGCTCTTCCATGTCCTCCGAAGACACGTAGGAGAGAGGTCGGCTGTTCAAGATTGCCTCTATCTCCAGCAATGTTGTGAGAAGTTCTTCGTATGCAGACAGCGGTTGTGACATACGTGTAGACAAGGGCTGAGACGGCGACTGCGACACATACAAAGGCTGGGTGTGTGTGTGTGTGTGTGTGTGTGTGTGGGTGTGTGTGTGTGTGTGTGTGTGTGTGTGCGTGTGCGTGTGTGTGTGTGTGCGTGTGCGTGTGCGTGTGTGCGCATGTGTGCTGTGACTGCATCCTAGACACAGGTTGCCATGCAGATGTCTCTGGGGTCTGCCTCCCAGGTTGCCACAGTGTGTCCATGTATTTGTTCAATGTTGGTGTGGGCCCATGGTGCTGTCACAGTGTTGAACTGCTGATCTCCATAATACGAGCATGGTGCATTCTCAATCACAGACTCAGTACGTCTGGTACAATCACTGGCGTAGCAATGTCCGGCACGAAAGCCCACGTTGTATCACTACTCGCACCTTCGACTTCGTTTGCGTACTCGTGCCGATCCCTCGTATCGGCACCTTGATGATGGCCGTAGCCTTGTAAGCCGTGTCATCACCAGCGGCGGATTCAAACAACAGCACTTTCGCCCGTTTCGGGACCCTGTGTACTTTCTGTTTGCTGCATATGGCCGCTCAGGACAAGCCCTGGTTTTGGATTTAGGAAACCCCGACACAACACACTTTCTTCAAACAAACAGTTCTATGTTATAAAATTCATTTTCATCTAACTAGTTTCTGCTCTTTAGATCAGTGTCCTTATCTTGGCTCGATACGTACGCTTTCACCTTCTCGGCATTCCGGGTGTACTGTACACCGCTAATAGAGCTAGCACGTGAACTTTTGCAGTTCGAACAAATCCCGTACACGCACTCGCTAACCGTGCGGGCTGCATCACACTCAAGACGTGTTGGAGCGGCAGGATCAAAGTAAGCGCAGCGCGACGGCCGGTCAAGCAGCGCTTCTTTGGTTGCATTCATAGCAGCTGTGTGTTCGGAAGCCAGAGGAACTCATTGGAGGGTGTGAAGGGGAGGACAAACCAACAACCCACTCTCGTTCGGCTAACCGACAACTAACCCTGAAGGGCTGTCATCCTTGTTATTTTATCTTGGTGTGTAAAGTTGTACAATATGTGAGTACTAGAAAAGGTACCGGTAGTACGGGAAGTAGTACGCAGCATGCTATTCTAATGTCATATATGGACAGGTGTAAATATGAGGATGTGAAGATTATAGTTATATGTATAGGGATATTTAATGGCACCAAATGATATAGTTCCAATATCATCACACCATTCCCCTTCTCCGGTCACAGACACCATCTGTGACAATGACTAAATAAGAAACAATAGATATAGGATGTAACGGCACTAAAGGATGTAAAGGTACAATATCATCACAGAGGGTTTCAGGAGACCGCGGAGAGGAGCAGCGTGCTCAGCAATGGGGGAAGTGAAGTCGCTGCACTGATTCACTAGTCCCATCAATGCTCGCCGGTCGGTGCGATTAGCTGGCACTCCGAAATCTCGGATGGCACACGTTCTCTCAGGGTCGACCGTCCAGCCGGTGTGATCGATGATGTAGCCGCAGAAGTTGATTTCACGACAATAGCCGCTGTGTTTGCATACATTTCTTGTCTTGCTACATACTCCTCCAACAACTGTGGATTCTCCCGCAATGTACTAAGCAAGCAATGTACTTTTAGGTCCAGCTCCACAAGTGACAGTTTGACGGCACTTACAGGTGATCCATTTTCGATATTAGGGAGGTTTAGTCCCACGTAATCCGTGGGTACTTTACGTGTGTGTACCACGTGATACTCAGTGACCCACGTACAGACGTTTTCTGATTCACGACATACCGTGTATGGAGGCTCACCCACGTTCCGCCAGAACGTGGATGAAAATCAGATTGGAGCGCATTGTGCGAGCTGTGAGGGTGCTCAGCTGAAGAAGTTTCCGAAGCACGAAATCGAAATATTGTATGAGCTTCTTGGGCCCGGGTAGCTTCGTCTTTGACCAGGTTTGGGCATTTCGCTTCATGCTTTTGTTTGTTCCGTGTGACTAACACAACATTGCAACGTGGGTGCCCTTTGTCCACTTTACGTGGATCGCCCACGTTCGCGTTTCCGTTACGTGGGAACTAAACCTCCCTATTATTGTTCAGAACCTCGATCCTTGCTCTGGCGAAGGCGACACTCTGGTCTGCCTTTCTCGACCTCTCATCCAATGAATGCGGCTCGAAGGACCAATTTTATGAATACTACTCTCTATCTACCCGTACAATGTAGAATTCTAAACGACGTTTTGGCTCTTCAGTGAGCCCATTACAATTATAGACACTCGGTGTCTTTCCATTCAGATCAGATACCAATTCTCTTCATAATAATTATCAGAGTTACTCGTGACTGTCCTCAAAATACAGTGAGAAGAGGAAGCGCCTACATTGCGACGGCTGGGGTAGATACGTGTACTTGAAGTTACTTCAAGTACATGTATACAAACTTCAAGTACTCTAATTTCAGAAATTTTCGGTGCTCAATATTTTCGGTATGAGGGCAAAAGGCCAGGTTAGGCGAACAGAAATTTTCGGTACAGAGAAGCAGTTCCCTATTGGATTACGCGTGTTAGTGTTTGTTCGGTGTATTGAAATTTTAGGTATGAAACAGATGCACCGAAAGTACCGAAAATAAAAGTACACCGAAAAATTTGTGAAATTACAGTATGTCCACCAGCCGTACGCGACGCAGAAAATGCTGGTGTCAGGATAGACATATGGACGTGTAGAGAGAAAGGAATTATCACGTACATCGTGGAGATGAATAGAGACACACCGTATACGTCTCCGGCAAACGAAAGCAATACGACTGGAAAAGAAGAAGACTGTGTAACCATAAACAGGACAAGTCATGGCAGTAAGTATAACTAGATAACGAATGAGATGGGACTGGGTTGACGTAGGACATGCATGTAACAAGAACTCGTAATGTTGTCCGACGGTAACACACACAGTACCTATAAATGCTATAAATGCATGCAGCTGTCAAATCAGATTCAATGTACAGAGTGAAGACACATGCGATATCTGACAGTTACCTTGTATGCATTTACTGTGCTGTCTCCTCAGCTACTTCTTTCACTTGGACGGCGATGACCTGCTGCTATCGGAGGCGGACGTGCAGGACGAGGACAAGGGTGAACGTGTGCTGGCGCACAACGGCTGGGTGATGAACGCCGACCCGCTGTCCAACTTCGCCGCGCCCGGCTCAGAGGTAAGCGTGCTGCACCCTCGTGTGGCGCCATGTCGTGCACACTTGATTTCTGCTCAGTTCTGTGTCCCATATTGACCGAGTATTATGCTCCCTGCCCTTCTTTTTGGCAAAATTTCGACAACTACAGGTACTTTTATAGGAATGCATTTTCATATCCGAGATATAGTGCTCTCCTGGTTTCTTGCACTCCAAAGGACAAGTATTGCATCCGATTGCAGCGCCCCATACCCTGGCAAATACAGTAGTTACGGTATTGGAGTTTGGAGGTGTGAAGGTTTGAAATACAGTATACTGTAGTAGGTAACATTAAACCACCCACGCGCGCCTATGCATCTTGGTTTTAGGCTAATAGTAACGTGCCATGTCTCAGTATGGCACCACCATTGATCGCACTGCAGTGGAAGCTTGGGTGCCTTCAGCATCGAGTGGAGCACAGCTTGAGAAGTACTGGACTGGAGTGCATGCAATGACTTCGTTTAGCCTTGGGCGAGCATTCACCTTGTGCAGTGGCGTGTCACCGCCCCGTAGTTTGACTTTCAGTGGAGATCATGGACAGTTAGAGTAGTGGTTGTGAGTGTGTTGGCCGTCACCGTGTGCTCAGCTGCTGCAGTGCTGCAATGCTACACGCCCATTGCGCATTGCCATGTAAGGAACGTGTGAGCACTGCATGTGCGTACTCTGGAATCGAACTTTTTATGCAGAAATACATTGTTCATGACCCCACACAGCCATAGCCAGGTGGCTGTGTGGGGTGTTCATGGTACAAACTACAAAGTTTTAAACACATACATACATGTGTGTCATTGAGCAATGGGCATAATACTAGAATACTGCGATTCTGCAATGCTGCCATGCTACAGTCAGACCTCGCTTAACCGCACACATCTGTTTTCCGCAAAAATATCCAGATAGGCGAGGGAACCGGATAATCGAACACACATACTGTATGGATGCATAGCATATACTGTAAATTGGTAACCAACGATTTTCTTCTGGATGGATAAAAGAGGACCGGATAAACGAGGTCTGACTATACTCTGTTGTTACTTGGTTGGCATTGTTTGCGTAGGTGTACTTGCGTCGTCAGCTGATCCCCTGGGGTGACAGCTGCAAGCTGCGCTACGGTCAGCGGCCGGAGGACTCGCCCTGGCTCTGGGTGCACATGACGGAGTACACGCGGCAGATGGCGCGCGTCTTCCACGCGTTCCGCATCGACAACTGCCACAACACGCCCCTGCACGTTGCTGAGTACCTGCTGGACGAGGCACGACTGGTGAGACCTGACCTCTATGTCGTGGCCGAGCTCTTCACCAACTCAGAGAGCATAGACAATGCCTTCATAAATCACCTGGGCATCAACTCTCTGATAAGAGGTCAGTTGTGCACGCGTCTATGCGTAATGTCAGTCGTTGTCCGTTTTGTACTTGTACGGTTGATCAGGGCTATACACTGCGTGTGTGTGTGTGGGGGGGGGGGGGGGGCACACGAGTTGGCGTACATGCTCTGAACTACTATCCAAATTGCTTGTTCTGGGTGTTTGTTTCTGTGCGTTTGGTCTATGTGTTGTGCATGCAATGTGTTTTACAGAAGCAGCCAATGCTTACGACAGCAAGGAGCTGGGTCGACTTGTGTACCGCTACGGGGGTCAACCGGTGGGCTCCTTCGCACCACCGTCGGGTGTTCGTCCGCTAAAGCCATCAATGGCTCATGCTCTCTTTGTTGATCTAACACACGACAACGAGTGCTTAATGCAGGTCAGTGCAAGCCCGTCTCTTTCGAGTTGCTCGACCGTATATTGTTTTATTTTACTATCTTGGAGTGTATGGTGGAGGTATCGATGGACCTTTCAGCGTATTGTAAAACTCCCCTAATCCAGACCTAATCCGGACTCCCTGGATCTGGGCACTCTTGTCTACCGGGCACCTGTCTTACCCATCAAGAGTCACAAAACCGGGCTTTTCAACGGAAAATGGCCGAAATATTGTTGATAATCCTAAACAAGTGTTTACGTGTACTTCCATTCACTATTTTGACGTAGGAGTGTTCTGGGTGTCGGGCAATTCTTAGTTAGATGCAGTGCCCGCTGCCAACGTACCTGGATAAGGGGAGCTACTATGTACTATTTAACTTGTGTTGAACCACCACCTGTTGGCGAAGGTGTATTCCTGCACTCTTGGTTGGCCACTGCACGTGCATTTCGCTGAATTTGTCCGTGTGTTGTGCACAGGGTCGGTCAGTGTATGACACCATGGCCAACTCTGCACTTGTTGCCATGGCATGCTGTGCCAGCGGCAGCACCCACGGCTACGACGAGCTCGTGCCCTACAAGGTGAGCTGGTGTTTGGTCTCCCTCTCTCTCTCATGCTCTCTCTCTCTCTCTCATGCTCTCTCTCTCTCTCTCTCTCTCTCTCTCTCTCTCTCTCTCTCTCTCTCTCTCTCTCTCTCTCACACACACACACACACACTCTCTCTCTCTCTCTCTCTCTCTCTCTCTCTCTCCTCTCTCTCTCTCCTCTCTCTCTCTCTCTCCTCTCTCTCTATTTGTCTAGTGAAATAAATGTGTACTGGCATCATTGCATAAGTTTCCTTTGCCTTCTCCTTGTGTCGTCTTTAGATCGGTGTGGTTGGTGGTGGTCGTTTGTACAGCACATGGTCAACTGCCTCACCCACCACACCACCACCACCGGGTACAGTAAACCATGCCAGCGGTGTCCTCAAGGGCAAGCAAGTCCTCAACGAGCTGCATGCACGATTAGCCACCGAAAAATACTCCCAGGTACTGCTTTCCGTGTGTGTGTGTGTGTGTGTGGGAGGGGGGGGGGGGGGGGGTGTTGTCTGTTGATTCCTTCGGCATGAAACTCTAAGTCACAACAGATTCTAATTGGACCTCTCACACAATGTGTGCGAGAGAGAGTTTGTTACTTCTCTAAGGGGCAAAGTATTTGGAAATTACGAATTGTGAATCAGAACTCTGTGTCGTGAAGGCTATTCTGAGGTAGCATTGCTTGTGGCATTATCTGTAGCATTGCCTGTAGCAGATTCCAGCTCACAGTTTCTATCAGTGTGGTTGTTTTTAATTGATTATGCTGCCATGGTTTCTTCCTGAGGAGAGCAGAAGTAGAACACTTGCTGTTGGAGTTTGTGAGCTTGTTTGCTGCCAGCTACACTAGGGTAGCTACAGCCGCAAATGGCTTCCGCTTTCTTGCTGGAAGCACGGTGCGGCTCAATGACATCCGACCTCTTGAGTCTATTTTTCGCCCTGCATCATTTCGTAGCCATGGCCTAGGGCTGAGCAACACCCGGTGCGTACTTGACTCGCTCGATCGGATTTCATTGAGCAGCACTGCGCTTCAGCATTTTCGCCCTGGAGCCGGCCGTAGCAAAGCACTGGACAGTATGGGACAGCACCCACCTTCGAATTGCACTGGCGCACATCTTCACCACGCGAAAGCAAAGTCGCGATCGGGTTCGTCGACACTAGTCGTCCGGTTTCCTGGCCAGTACAATCAACCTTGTGAATAACCACCTCGGCTATAAAAACAAATCATGGATACCAACACAATCTGCAGGCCTAGTGACCATGTGACTGCATATTTTCAACAACTCACGAATAACAACACTTCTCTCATGTACGATCGAGGGTCGTTGTTTGCAAGGTTGGCTGGTTTTTCAATCGATTACCAATGAAAAGGAGATTTCTTGAGATTTGTATCAAATTATAATTAATTTTGATAATAGGCCTCGGTCACACTACCGCAAAAATGCTACATCAGCGTCAGAATCATGAGTTTTTCCATGGCAACTGACGAAAACGCGGGTAGTTTGAGCGTCAGACGCAGCAATGTCTAACGCAAGCAAATCCGCTGCGTTGACGCTGCCACTGCATGCACTTGCATGAAAGACAGTGCCTTGTGAAAAATAGCGTACCGTGCTCTATCACAGGGATTTGGTTCGCCGCACAGTGGTTTTGTGAAGTGCATCAGGCCGCGACGGCAAAAGCAAAAAAATGCAGTGTGGCTCCACGTCGGCGTCAAGTGCTGTGGTTTGACGCTGCGTCCCGAGGCCTTAGGGAGAGCAGTGCTGCTAAAGGATAACGTAGTGAAAAAAAGGTGCCCCATATACTGACAGTACTCTAGTTAACTAAAGCTCATATTACACACGGCAGAACAACAGAGACCAAAAATCCTTCTCTTGACTCCGAGTTTCGTGTTTCAAAAAACACTCATCATCGTCTGATGAGTGTTTTTTGAAACACGAAACTCGGAGTCACGAGAAGGATGTTTGGTCTCTGTTGTTCTGCCCTGTGTGGTAAGCTCTGCCCTTTTTGAGGTGTTGAGCACTGTTTGCAGCAAAGACTACAGCCACTTTGTCTAAAGCTCATATTGTATAGCACACAGGGTGCATCTGTAGAAGTCTTGAGGGAATGGGTACTAGTATGTCCAGGCAGGTATTTGTTCTCTGTATACGTTATGTGTACCAGTGAAAACTGACAAATTGTGAACGCCAATACATGTACAACTACCAACATATTCCGAGCATAAGTTTATTAGTAGCAGTGCTGAGGCTTCCTGCAGCTTCATTCATACTCGTAGGAAAAAAAGGTTTCAGAGCAGACCCGCTCCGCTCTCTTCCCATTCACTCTTTATTACAAGGGAAATATTCTTAAGCTTGAGGGAGTTCAATATAAGGCAAACAAGTGTCATAACATATGTGGGAGAAGCAATAATCAATTTTAAAACTCGAATAAAGACTTAAGTGATGAATGCAGCTACGTGCGCTTAGATTACGATAACGTTTTTTTCTTGTGGACATAATATTCAAATGGAAGCTCTTCATAGACAATGTACTGAAGTACAGTATGAGAGATAACGATTCACTCATGTCGAGGTCTTCATTGCCGAGTGAGGTAGCCTTCTACAGGAGGTGGGTCTAGATCAAACGCCGTTGGAGTCTGACTAGCGTAGAGACATGTGTGGCAATTCGTCAAGACTGCACCTATTGACTACAACATAGCAACAGGTTGTAGTAGTACCTTCTGGTTCTTTTTGAAGTCCACGAATGTGAATTGTTGCAGGATTTTCCCAAATCACCACTCTGCGCTCATTCGCGCGGCACTCACTTGGACGTTGAACCTCTGCTGTTCTTCAGTGAGATTCACTCGCCGACGTGGAACAAGCAATTGGGCTCTGGCGGGATACGCAGGGTCTCCGTAGAAGCTAAACACAGGTGCTGCATCAGCTTCGAGTGGCTGAGGGAGCTCCATGCACACCTCCAACCTGGGTAGCGGGCCTGAGTCACGTAGGAGATATGCGTCATGCCTGCGACCTTCACAAGCGTCATGCAGACTCGCGATAATCCCGTTGGGACAAACAACGGACTGGAACTGCAGTGCGTGTACATGCTTACAGCCGTTGAATAACAGTCGCTGTCTGGTGATTGGCTTACAGTTTGGGCGCACGGTACCATCAGTAACCCCCACCCTTTTCCAAGGGGTGCTCTCTTTTCAACGGCTGCGGCAATTTCTTCCAGATGAATTGGCGAAAGCCACGGCAAGTCCACACGTCTAAGCAGGTCTCCCCAACAATTGTACAGGAAGCGACTGGTATCATTGATTAGGATGCTCAGTTCACATCGAGAGCGCCCAAACACATCCTTCAATTGGCTTAGCCGGCATGGATAGGCCAATCGTGCTAGGACAACACACAGTCCATCGTGGCCAGTCCATTTTATCTTGTTTGGGCCAGTGAATTTCTCAGGCAACCCAAGAGCTGTGGTCAGCCTTTGGTGATGCTGCTTGTGAAAGCGGAATGTTTCTCTCCACTTCTCCGATGTCCATTTCTCATCCAGCCAGTGGAAACGATTGGGGAGCTGTCGAGGACGTTCCACATTGATTTGCTCCTGCAGCAGTTCCACGATTAACTGCAGCAGCTCAAAATGGGGATCCTCGTGATCAAACTCCAAGGTGAAGAGTTCACAGAGAGCGGGTACGAGAGCCATACGGCAGTTTTAGTTGAAGCTTATGGACATGTGTGGATGTTTATGCACGTGTTGAGTTCTCTGAATCCCATTGCTCAGCACTCACAGCAAGCCAAGGCCAAAGTTGCTAGGAGAAGTCATTTATACTGGGGGAAGCGACGAATGAAGAGACAGAGAAACGGACGGCTGCATGATGGAGAGAGAGAGGGGGGGGGGGGGGGGGGGGGGGCTGACTAGCTATAGCAAATGTCAGCTTGTATGCAGCTACCCAGGGCAACAGAGCAAAGGGTGGCAAACGCGAACGCAGGAAGCTATGTGTACCGGGTGCGGGGAAACAATGTGCAAGAGATGGGGACCTAACACATGTATGTGTTTTTTCATGTTGATGCGTGACTATGCGTGTGTATGCGTGTGTATGCATGTGCATGCATGCCTCTGTGTGTGTGTATGTGTGTGCGTGCGTGCGTGTGTGTGTGTGTATGTGTACGTGTACATGTGTGGACTTTACCAGGTATACGTTGACCAAGTGAGTGAGTCTGTCGTTGCCGTGACACGTCACAACCCGGAGACACACGACGCCGTCATTCTCATCGCTCACACAGCCTTTCAGAAGATGCCGGAACACGAGGAGCCCACTGAAGAATTCATGGGAGTCAGTAGCTACATTCCGCCACTCGTTGTACAAGGTAATTATCATCTGGAAACTTTGGACTAGATATACTACAATGTCTCTCACACACATGCTCGCGTGTGCATGCGCGCGAACGCACACACACACACACACACACACACACACACACACACACACACACACACACTGGCGTAAGCCGTGGCCTCGTGGCCACTCGTGTGTTCGGTCCCGTCGAGTGGCTACCATTGCTCTGGCAGTCCACTGCGTGCTTGATGTTGTTGCGGCATGTATAGTGGTCCATGGAAGGGGAAAGGCAGTTACAGAATTATTGCACACCCGAATCCCAAAATGTGATTTGCATTCTGCTGTTGTTGCAACTCGCTTCTTCACAATTTTCTTGCTCCTGTTGCTGCTGGCGCTGCTGCTATTGCTGTGAAGGTGTCATTGACAAGGTGCTACTGGAAGGTCGCATGGTACGCCGTACCACCTCTGCCATGCAGGACCTGCCCGACGACAAATCGATCATCGTCGGCCTGCCCGACTTCAAGGTGGAGATTGCGACGGACATTGGCGTGCACGAGTCGCACTTCTGCGACCTGCGCGTGACGCAGCAGGCGCACGAAGCGCACTTCCACACGTTTCCACCCGGCGCTGTGATCGCTTTCCAGTAAGGTTCAGCAGATGTGTACATGTAGGTGTACGGCGTGTAATACTAATAGTATCTGCAGCTGTCAACACCTTTGTGATCACGTTATTTCAGTCACACTTGTGCTAATAGGGTGTAGTGAATTCCGTAACCAGGATTCTGCACTTTGAATTCTGGATTCAGTATTTTAGACTTCTGGACTCAGGATGTTGTGACCATGGCTCTGCAATCAGGATGCTGTAAT